TGTGCACTGCTGTTTGTGTGTAATACATCACAGAGAACAGCAACACAATCAACTTCAGAAATCTTACTGATACAGGTGGTACTCAGCTGGCTGATAACAGAAGTCAGTGCAGAAACAGAACAATTTCTTAGCAGAATGTGATGGAAGGTGAAGGCAATTCTAGGGGAAGCTCCTGGGGGAACCTGAGTCACATTTTGTAGGTAGGAACAGACTTAAGCACGTGCTTAAAAGGAGTGTGGAATCAGGTCTTGGATGCAGCCCATTAAAAGTTAGAGTCAGATCGAAGTTTCCTTGCTGGGAAGTGGTTTGAGTCTTTCCAAAATGCCGCAGTCTATTCTAAACTGTCAGTTCTACGGCATTTCCTTCTACATCCCTACTTAATGTGTGTTTTATATTGCAGTTCATCAGTCAGGTTTATTAGCACACTTAATTGGATCACATTAGCTGGCATTTTAGCTATCCAAAACAGTTGAGAAGGCAATCAATTAAAACATCCAAACACATTAATGATGTAGACAGAGGGTAATTTATGTAGATGGCTAATTACCTGTTTTCTTCAGTAAATAGGTTTTATTGCCCAGGATGCATGAGCAGAAAAGAAACAGCACTACAAAAATATTGTTGGCCAAGTTGCAAAAGAAAGAAAGCAAATGGTGAAGTACAAATGTTTCTGTTGTTCAAACTGTATTAAAGAAACTCCACTGTTACCAGCACACAGATGTTCTCAGTACTGTAATATTTTAACGCGATTTTTAGAGAATATACTGAGTGTATTACCAGGGTTTGAATGTCTTATAATATGACATCTGAGGTTTCTAAGCAATCAAGATGCTCCATAAAATGGTCATTTTAAGCGAGAAGATAATAATCAGTCTGCTTCTCATTTCATCCACTACTGATCTGGAGCTAAAGATGTGGCTCCCTTGTGAGCTCAGGGCCCTGCACACCGTGCTGTGTGGCACTGCCTGCTGTGCTCCCTGGGATCAGGAATACTCAGTGCTGACCAGGAGATGGAAGTACAACTGAGGGGCATAACAAAAGGCAGAACAGGAATGGAATGGAATCCTTATCATTCTCCTGCTTCCTGCTCACTCCTACTCCCCCTCTGGCTTTACGGCTAAATTTTTTCATTTACTGTGAGGCAGTTCAGGAATAAAACATGTAAACTTGTTATCAGATACTGTTCTTAATTTCCTTTCCAATCTGTGGGGAAATTCTTATGTCAGTTCATTCTTTCTAACTCTTGATTTTCTTGGAACCATGCAGGGAACATATAAAAACAAAAATGACTGGGTTGAATGGTGAGACACTTAGATTCACTGCTAGTTTGGCAAGGTAGACTTGGCCTGTCCTCACCCCTTCTCAACTGTTGGATGCCACAGACAGTGATGCCACCCTGCATCTGTCTTCTACCCTCCAGGCATCTCAGTGACCACTTAAACCTCTGGTCCTGTTCCCGGAGTGGCAGAGATGCACCTTCCATTGGCATCCTACAGAATACGAAGCACTTGTGGCTGGAAGCCACATCAGGTGCAGGAGAAAAGAGGAGGAACATCTTGAAGCCCACAGCTCCAGAGCACTGTGCCTTCTAAGTAATGAGCTGCCTTCCCTAAGGGGTCATTAAGAAACAGCTGATGGAAACAACAGATTCTGACATACACTAGTTGAGCTGACATATGACTGAAAGCCAAGACACCAAAGGCAGGCAGCATTACAATGCCAGGGATAATTTCATGTAAGCCATTAAATTAATGATGACAGTGAGTCCTCAGAGCTTGGCAAATTGGAAATTGCTCGAAGCAAAAGCAGTACAACGATAACACAGTTAATCTTCCACAGAGAAATGATAGTAAAAGGAATGGGTTTTAGATTAGCTGTCATTAAAGTGGAACATCTGCCTCTGCAAGTCAAGTGGACTGTCCTTACTTATAAACACAGGAACTCATTAAAGTTACTGGGTTTGTGTGGCTGTGAGCCAGAGCCACATTTCCACCACACTGCAAGTCCTGGAAGCTCAGCGGATTACACTGCAAGTCAGGAAGATGACTTCCCAGGCAATAGAGGTACAAAGATACATGTGATCCATCATTCGTGGGTTTAGATTCTCCCAGTACCCGGGAGCACATCAGTGACTGAAATTACAGAAATAATGAGTATAATATGAGTTCAAAGAAAAAAATATTTTATAGTCAGGAAAGTTTTGTTTAGCTCTGCCTGAGCTCTGAGAAAAGTTTCCATTTGAATATTTAACAGCAACCAATCTTCCATTATTTCTAAACTGTTCCCTGCCTGCTGGAGTGCAGCACGCAAAGTCAGGAAGCTTGCATAACAGTGTGACAAATATTCTCTCATCTGATATTCCTTTTATATTTCTATTAAAAATGTGGAATATTTATAAAGCCAGTGATGGCAAACCATCATTCGTGTAGAAACACAGTCATGTTTTCAGAGCTTTCACAGTTCATTACCAGGAGCACCAGCATACCGTAATGATGTCCTGAAGCATGCTGCACAGGAGACTTCCAACAAGCAGATGTTACAAGGGAATTTCTTTATAGCCAACTTCAGCCATCAGCTGCACGCATGGAATAAGTGACAGATCTCAAAGCGGTTGGAAACAGTTCTGTAATCTTGAAAAATTCCAGCTTCACTTTAAAGAAACACACAGCAGTGATCATTGGATAGCTGCTTCTGTCCAGTTTCTTCAGTCTGGAATTGGAAACAATATCCTGTTAGAAATGGCATGTATGTAATGAAACAGTTGTGATTCAGCTGAGTGGCCCCAGGCCCTGCTATGGGTAAAGGCAATAGATAACAATGAGACTTACCAGCGTGGAGTGGGAGGGAGATGTCTGTAGATAAATATTGATGGATTTCTGGTGCATAGCTATTGCTGGCAGGGGAGACGGGGCTAAAAGGAAGGCAGCCAAACCCAGCTCCCTAGCAAGAGCAATGCTTCTGATGACTGCTGTGATAGCTTGTTTAACAGAGCAGCAGACTGACTAGAGCCAGATTCAAGAGCAGTGATGCTATTAAGACATCTCAGGCAGTCTTCATGGACTCATTAGCACTGAGTGAAGAATCACAATTAGCCTCAGAGTTATATCAAAAACCAGCAATGGTGGCTGGATAATAACAAATGCTGGGCACTCTGGAAGGAAGGACTCCTTCCCTAAAACTGTGGTGTGTTTTTTTTTTTTTGAAAGATAATGTCTCCTGGCAAAGTGTAACAGTAGAATGGTGGAGATGTGTGAACATGTGGCATGGCATGCTTCTGGCCATTAGGTGCAAGGACTGGGCAATAGCTGAGAGAAATAGGTCACCTTTAATCCTGCCTGCTCCCCAGGAGTCCAGAAAATGAGTGTCAGAATGGGTTGTGTTGAGTGTGAAATTGTGCTAGGCATGCATAATGCAATGATGCTGCTAATCAAACCCCTCTCACTGTGACTAATCAGAAAGATCTATTTGATATTCCAAGAAATTAGTTGGAAGAGCAAGCCCACAATGGAGAAATAAAGAACAAATCAGAAGCTTGGGCACAGACAGAGATAAGGACTTTGATCACAGTAGTTTAATGTGCACAGAAAGAGGACAAAGAAGATAAAAGAAACAAATAAAAATGCTGATGAGAACAGTTTGGATCTGCAGAGAGAAGCAGCCATTAATCTAGACCATGACTAACAGATAAGAAGTGATATGCCTTCCTGGTGCTTGAAGAAATAGCAGTTTTAGGCTATTCAGGCTGAAAACAATTTCTTCCTCCGTGCAACTCTATAGCAATCTTTCAGGGCTGAATTTGGCCCCTGTCTTTAAAGAAAAAAATGCTACAGGGGCACTGAATGCAGACTGTTCTAAGTGACAAAATAGAGCATGCCAAAGAAAAACCCCAAACTTCCTCACTTGGGCCACTGGATGGAATATTAAGAACTGCATCATCCTCCCTGTTCTTTCCATGACCACCAGGTGATCTGAGGAAGGCTGCTCCCCAGTTCTGTTTTCCTTAACAAAAGAAGCATGAAAAGTTTTGGGTGTAAAAGGAAAGGGAAGAAAACCAAATATCCTATTTATACATAATGTAAAGACTGGGATTTTTAAGAATATCTCAGTGACTGTGAATTACAGACTAAAATTCAGAAAGTTGGAACTGCTTCTCTCAGCAGAGAGGCTGTTAATCCAGTGGTCTATTGTCTGCTCTTTTTGATTCCAACCTTAGAAACCTTCCTATAGCATTTTGATGTCAATTAGGAGCAAGAAGTGCTCATCAATGTCACCAGGATTAGAACCAGAGTAACTTTTCTTGGCTTTGAAAGAGAAAGAAACCCATTCTTACCTGTAGCATAGCTGCCTCTGTCCCCCAGAAAACACAGTACTAAGTTGGATGTCTCATCTCTCTTGGATCTCATCCTTCATTTTACATTATAGTGCTGCCCCCACTCCCTTATATTGCTGCTGATTATTGCAGTTCCATCAGAAAATGGCACCTGTTCCATTCAGGACGGGGTGGCTGAGCGGTGTAACACAGGATGCTTCACAAACTTACAAACACATTACAAATGTTACTTTCAAGTGACCTTTTTGGCTCACAAAATAAAGCTATTTAGCTCAACAGTGTGCGTGAAAGCTAATCAAATAAATAGCAAGGAAATACGCAGTCATTTCATAAACTGCAAGCTATTGGAGTGTTTTCCTCCACTGTGGCCGGAACCAATGTGGTATGCAATTAATTAGTCAGTTTAGCTAGATATTCCTCACAAAGCAGAGCTCACTTTCTTCCACAGTGATTGTAAAGAATATTGAATAATGCCATTTGCCTTGTTCTTATTAGCTCTGTTGGTCAGTTTTGTTTCACTCTGATATTATTTACTTCTAGTCTTGCTGTGCCACGTTCAGTGCCGTGATCCACTGCATAATTATCATGAGCATCTTGTCCTTGCCTTATTCTTGCAGCCTCACAAACAAACAAGAAAACAGTCAGCCACAGGCAGATCCCCACAGACACATTAATGTATGCTACAGCCTGATGCCTCTCGCTTGAGTCTTGTTTTCAGCTTCTTAAGGTCGGGATTATTTTGATCAATTTTAAGGCCATAATCTGTGATTTTCCAGGCCTCTTCATAATGCTGCATTTCAAAATTGCTTTGTGCAATCTTATGAAAAGTTTTTGCTACGTTTTCACTACCAGAGCCATTCATGATGCTGCACAGTGCTGTGGATTCATCCAATTGCAGTGCTTCAACATACTGTTTGACTGCTGCTTCTTCCTGTGACACTGACAACAGCAGGTGTCCTTTTGAGCAGTGGTCCTGAACTCGTGTTCTCAGACTGTTACAGCCATGCTTCTCGATCACTTTCTCCATATCTCTTAAAGCTTTGTCATATTTTTTGAGGTGCATAAAGCAAGCAGCCCTCTGTCGGAGGTATCTTGGGTTATCTTTGCTTGTCAAGATAGCCAGGGTAAAGTAACCGAGAGCCTTCTTATAATGACAGCCTTTAATCAGAACATTTCCTTCTTGGGCTGCTACCTACAGGACATAAAGTTAGTTAGTTAATATTAGAAGGGCAGTAGCGGGGAAGTAAATTAACCAATCCAGCCTGGCCACACATATGGTAACCTATGAAACGTCTTTCAACTTTTTCAACTGCTGAAATTGCATCTAGTTGGAGAAATGTACAATTGGCAGATATAAAAACCAATCAGGCAACGGGCACTTGCTGTTATCTCAAGGGTTGCTGAACCAGATCCCTTGTTTCTGCATGTGCTGCTAAAACCTGCTCAGAACATTGCCTCTGAAGTTGTTTACGTCCTTAAGAAATGGTATGTGAACTGAAAACAGAATGGAGCTAACTAAAACTAGGCAGCATTCTGTTCATGAAAGCACATTTCTGCCATCTTTTCTAACAGGTAAGGAAATGGAGTGTTCTGGTCGATAGTGTCAGCCCCACAGACATTTGCATGAACTAATTAGTGAAGATTGGTCTCTTCTGATAAGTGTCCCAAAGCTACAGGAAACAAACCAACTGGTGGCTGCGTTGATCTCCATTAGTGAACTATCTGCCCTTATCTTAAGGGAAAAACAACATGAAAATAGGGAAGGCTGAAAGCCACATAATTTTTAGTCTTATAAAGGTCAATAAAAAAAACTCCGTTAGACCTATTTGCCTCGAATGGATGTCTCATTATCTCTCTTTATTGGTAATAAACAAAGCTTTTAACATGCTATAGCAGAGTATTTAAGTTATAAACAAGGCTGCCACCAGCAGCTTTGGTCGTACAGAAGGCTGAGCCGAACAAGCTGAGATGCGAAGCACAGGATAAACATTTTCATCAGCCCGATTCCACGGGATGTCACACATTTGGGATGCTTGTAGCTACTGAAAATTCAGTTAGCTCAGCCACTGCCTCAGCAGCTATGCTTGAGCAGTCTCTAAAAGCCACACATGACATGGCACAGGTCCTCTTCCAGTCTGCCTGTGTGTCTTGGCTCTGTTTGCTGCTTAGATTGAACTGCTTGCTGTTTAATGCAAGTTAGGAAAACAGGTTAACACTTTTATTCCTAGAAATTCTAAAGTTCTGGATCACATTGCTCTGAAGAACAATGCTGTGTTGTGGGCAGACCATACAGATTTTGAGATCATTTCTATAGGAGTGAGTTCTGGACATCCCTGGGCAAGGAGCTGGCAATCAGCCACACATGTAACTTCTGACATAGGAAACTGAAGGGCTGAAGCTACACTAGGAGCAAGCAAACTCCCTTCCTCTGACCTTTTGCATTTTAAGAAACCTTTGAGATTCCTGTTCCCATGTGGCTTCCCCAGTTGTTTACAGATTCCTTAGCATGGGACCCTTTGCACTATAAATAATAAAAGAATGTCATTACTTTGTTTTTCATGAAAAAAAAAAGTAGTACATCAAGAAGCTTTCCTCGCTCCACCCTTTCCTGTGCAGCTCACGTAGAGTTATTTCTAGCTTTCCAGACCAGACTCCAGGATAACAGGATAGCTACAACTGTTAAACATAACAGTAACAAATTGTTCTGGTCCCCCTGAGTATGTATTGTATGTATGTATTGTATGAGTATGTATGTATGATCACCAGGATAGGTGATTTATTTCTGGAATACCTTTAATCCCCAAGCAATGCTCTGCTAGACAAAGACTGGGTAAACCCTGACCTCTTCATTTCAGTCTCCTCATTTGAGAAGTGGAGGTATCAGAAAGAACGCCCTCCCCCTGCATTGTAGTTAGGAGCCACTGCATAGTGAGACCAAAATGGTTTTCTTTACACAGATTCTCTCTAAAAGCCTTTCTGACTTTTCTGAGACCTTCCTTTCAAACACAAACTGGAATAACATTGTGGGCAGAAGAAAGTACTGTCGGAAAGATCCTTTGTGATACTGTGCAGGTAAATTAACTGCTTCCTTCCTCACCTAAGCAAAGTAGATATTTATCCACTTGTCACAAAATACACAGCAAAAAACCCCAACCATTTCTGGGCTAACCCGCAGTAAAAGTTATCATGCTCCATAAATCTTTGCAGATTGTAGAACAGAGAAAGATCCCAGGTTCTTGAGTCCAAATGTTTACTTGATTTGCACAAAAAAACCTGAGATAATAGATGAAAAAAATATAGATCTTATTTGACTTCCACCACAGGCGTTGAGTTCCAATCTCGAAATCAATCCAGCCACCTTCATTCTTGGAAGTGGCAGAGAAATCTGTTGTGATAAATAAGCACCAGTAAGAGGTTCGGCTCCAGCCTTTGTTCCAGAGCTGAAAGAAAGAGGCAGAAATAAAGTGCCTCTCCCCCTTTAAAGGATTCACTCATCTGTGCCATCAGTTGAAACTACAGGAATTCATTTCTTTCAGACTGATAGCATAACAATCCCTCCTGCACTGGCTCAGAAGGCAGCACGGATGGGCTCAGCTGTGAGAGCTCTATACAGTAAGAGTGATGTGGCAGCAAGGGAAATTTAGCTGTAAAACTTATCTTCATGGATAGATTCCTCCTTAGGGCCCTCATAGACACATTCTTGATTGTACCTTTATCAGCTTTATGTAGTGAAAGATTGTAAATTGGCTCTAAAATCTCCAAACTCTTCCCCAGAAGACTGAACTTTCTCCATTATTCAGGAGAGAGGGGCTCTTTTCTCTGTAATGGGGTATATCTAGGGACTGGTAAATTAATACTTGTTTACTTATATCCTCCTGCTGTTTTGCTAAAATACATACAAAGCACTCCTCTCTAGATGCATTTAGTTTATCAGCATGTTGTTTGTTTTATAACCTGGGAGAAAACATAACAATATAGCTTCTCACCAGGGCACACTCAATCTACAAATTGAATAAAAGGAAGCAAACTGATTCTCAGAACACAGAGCTTCTGGGTAATCAGAATTGCAGATGCATGAGTGAATGTTAAAGCTCCTCACCATCAATCCGACCTTGTCCTGTCTTGTTACTGGAGATGCTCTCTCAGAGCTGGATGCAATTTGGGAGAGAAACTTAAAACAACAGTGAAAAATACATACTCAGGGGGACCAGAACAATTTGTTATTGTTATGTTAAACAGTTGTAGCTAAGAAAACCAAAACCAAATCTCTCCAACCTCAAAGACTAGTCATTTTAAAAAATGTGAGTATATTTAAAAACCTAAAGATTGCATTAAAGGTTTGAAGCATTATATGTGATTGAATCAGAACCTTTCGTTTCATTTTAGAAGGAAAATGAACAAAACATGAATTCCCTTTCCCAGAAGCCAGCTCTGAGCACCATATAACTCACTCAGAGTATAATATGAGCAATGATCTCGTTAAATCTCTAGCTCCTCCTCACCATCCCCTGCATTTTAACAGTGGGAATAAACAGGTTGTATGCTAGAGAGCCCAACAATAAATTCCCCACGTGGCAGGAAGTGGTGATGAATTATTAGAGACTGAAGCAATGAAAGAAATTGAATCCAAACTCTCTAATCTCAGATTGGCTGGAGTGAAGGATGGAGGAAGAACCCACTTTATTTCTCATTCTTCTGATGATGATGTCTTCCTGCACGCTTCTGTTCAGGACAACACCACGAACATCTCCACAGCCTGATTTTTCTTCCCATTTATTTTCCCCCTGAATCTACAGATGTGGCCATCAAAAAAGGATTGTACCTGAGAGAGATGCTGCTGTTGCTTAGCATCTACAAAGTTCAGGAGGAACTCCAGCTCCCTTTCATCTTTCTTAGCTAGGATGCTGAATGAGTGAGCTGCCGCTGCCACGTTCCTCTTCTTCAGCTGCAACACAGCCAGTCTTGCACTAGCAACCTCATCAGCAAAGGAGTGCCCAAATGCCTCCTGAAGGTGAACAAGGGCCTCTTCATACCTTCCTGTTGGTTAACACCAGTACAGGCTATATAACCCACTTCATGTGGAGAAAGCAACATCAATAAAACTTACTAAAGCACACTGTCCACGGTTCATACCTAGGAGCATTAATTACTGCATATCCTCCCCCAAAACTTTTGCAAGCTTCTCTTGAAAACTACCATACAACAGACATCTTGTACTGTTGCTACGTAACATTTACTTTTTATCAATTTTTGAATCATTTGTTCATTTGTTATGACTAGCTGTGTAAAAGAACTGGTACTCACCATTTGCAATCAAAACATCCGTATAGAAGGTGTGATACTGTGCTTCCTTGCGAATTTTTATTAGTGCTCCTGCAATCACAAGAAGGTCTCTGAGGGTTCTTTCTTCCTTTGAAAAGTCTTTGGTAGCAACAAGCTCAGCTAACACAGTTCTGCTGTGCTGAAGGAGCCACTGAGCGACCAGCTCTTGGGCTTCGTGCTTTAGAGACAGGATTGCTGGGATTACCATTCCTGCCTCTGCCTTCAGCGCCAAGACCAAATCTTGCACTGCCTCCTATGTAGAAATGAGACCAAAAATGAAGTGGTAACAATACCTACATATTGGTATGCATTTTTTTCTAATATTTCCAGTTCTCAGCTGCATTTAAGCATGCAAAACAACCAATAAAGCCCGTTCACTACTGCAAATTTCTGCTATCTCAAAAAGCAAACTGGCAGGCAGGTGTGCATTGATTGGATAAGGGAGGGCACATTTCTCTCCCTCCACTTCCCTCTGTCCTTAGGTGAATACAGACACATAAATGATAGGAGGTGCAAAAGTTCTAAGAACAGAATTGTTAATTGTTCCACTCTGGCAAGGAGAATCAGATCTGGCATCATTGCATTCCCCAGACTTTCCATCTAGCTTGTGTTAGGGGAATGAAGATTGATGATTGTGCTGAAGTCCAGACAGCAGTTGTTTTTGCAGTCAGACAGTTCCAAGCAGCAATTAAAATTCATCATTTTACACAGTGATAACACTGTCTCAGACTTCCTTGCAGCCACGAGCAATGTAAATGTACTGTTCAGACCATTTTACACAAAGATGAGTTTTGCCCATTGGTTCGCATCTGACTGTGATAAACCTTTCTTGGTCATAAACCATCTCACACTTCACAGAACAGCTGCCAACCTAAAATACGGAATGAATAAATTCAACCCAGTCACATCAGCTCGAGATGCTACAACTCATCTGACACAAAACTGCGACACGAAAATGTGAGCTCAGATACAAGGGAGAGTTTGCAGCATTGCAGAACAACGTATTGTAGTGATGGTGAATATGGTAGGACTGAGGTTTAGTCTCCTTCTCTCTAGATTTGGGAAAGCAACTCAGTTATGTCAAGTGGGCTGATTACACAAACAGCCAAAAGCAGAGCCGTCACCGGGCAAATTCTTTGAGAAACTCTTCCCTTCAGTGAGTCCATGGCAAAGACTGGGTATTTTATGCTAATGTTACACTACCACAAAATTGACCAGCAAATTAATAGTGATACCTTTTGCTGCTTTAGAGCAAGGTAAATTAATCCTCGCCCACTGAGAGCATGCACATTGCCAGGGTCCTCTTTTAAGACGGCATTAAAATCAAAAATAGCAGTTTTCTTCTGACCGAGGTGCCCGTAGCATTGAGCCCTGATGAGGAGGCAATCTTCAGCATAGCCACCTGGAAGAGAGAAATGCAGTCATGCTGACTTTAAAGATCTCAAGCCTACTGATCTAAAGTAGGGTGCAGTAAAGTTCCACTGTGTGCAGATGACTGAGCTCCACCAAAAGGCTTCAAAGTGAAAATGATGTGGTAGATTTATATGCTGTGGAAAGTACGGGTTGTTTTGGCTAAGACAGCAATCCAGATGGGACTGTCTAATTGACTGCCACATTAATGTGCACTGGAATTTGTGATACTAAAATTCTTTTTCTCTGCTTTAAAATACATGCTGCCCAAATGAAAAATACAGTCAGTGATGAAAAGTATGGTCCATTCATCCACTGTGTGCAGAGCATAAATCCTTCCCCTGTCCATACAGCCCTTCCTTTCAAGCCAATTTTGATCAGGATCTTAATTTGCCTAGAGTTGCAATCAATAACTGTGTCATCCCAATACTGGATTATAAATTATCAGTGCCACTGTAAATATATTTTATTGGGCAAATGCAGCATCTTGCACAGCTGCCTGCAGAGATGAGCCAGCAGACAGACCCCTAGCAATTATTTTACAGTAATGAGGCTTTTTCTCTCTCCTGATATGCTCCAAAACTTCTGTACCAAAAGTTATTATCTGTCTGGAGCCCTATCAATTGGCTCCCATAAAGACAATGTCTATTTCTTAACAAGCATCTGCTCTACCAGGTGGGGGGTTGATAAGCTGGAATGTATGGGCTGTGAAATGGAACCATATCAAAGCAGTTAACAGTTTTCCATTTTCATAAACCACTCTCTCTTCTTCTCAATGCTACTGTCATAACATTTTCTCTGGGTGAAAAGCAGATTTCCATACAAACATGGTTTTGCTTGGAATGTGCCAGAAGCATTTCCATATCAGCCTCATGTCTCTCTTGAGGAAAAGCTGGGATAATGATCCATGTAAGTGGGTGCATTTGTTCTTTTGCATTGGAAGCACACAGTCACAGGTACGTTGGAACTGGAAGGCAGGTTACTTGCTTCAGTGATTATATTTACATGATGTTCATTATGAGGAATGGGAGGTCCCAAGTAAATGCTATTGGTAGGAAGGTTTGCAGAGTATTAGCTGATGTAACAAAGGCTAACTCAGGACCCTTCTGCCTTGAAGCTATCAGTTGAAAATAGTAAAAACTGAACCTTTTTCAGTAGCCCTTTCAAATTGCTTACTTGCAATTTTCGAGGAAAAGTACATTTTTAGATAACAGGATCCCAAATTTCTCTTCACATTACCAGCTTTCTGGCTCACTTCAGTTACCTCTGTGCAGTTACTCATTGAAAATCAATCACCCACTGATCTGATTTCCCACAGAGGTAAATCTCCTATCCATATCTTTATAATCTTACCTGAAGCAATGATGGCAAAAGAAAGATAGGCAATGGCCTCTTTTATGTCAGCATCTTCCCGTTTGTTCTTCAGGATGCTCAGTGCCCTGGAACGGCAGTGAGTTTGCATCAGCTTCCTGTCTTCATCCTTGAAAATGTCCATGATTGGCAGGAGGCAGGAGGTATCCCCAATTTTGATCACTTTCTTTAGCAGCTTAACAGTGTGAGAGAAAAAGATAGGAGAGACAAGCATGGAAAGATAAATGAAGTAAAAAACTGCTCAAGCTGGAAATATTACTGTCTAGTGAGACAAGCATGCTCTCTCCCAGTGCTTCTCATATTGTGCCAGCCACGGTCCACCCAGAGACCATGAATCTTCTCTACCTAACTCCTCAGCTGGCCCTAGAGTAACAGCATGCTGGGAAAAAAGCACATCTCTCATCTTTTCTTATCACCTCTGTAGCTGTGGCAGTCATCTTAGTGGGTGCACTACTCTTGCATCGGTTACTTTGAGCAGAATCAGCAGACAAGCAGGTGGCACAGAAACATCTTAAAGAGAAATTTTTGGTGACATATGTTCCATCTAGAAGTTGCAGCAGAAAGCTGCAGAGAGGAATCCAGCTTCCAAGGGCTACTTACTGACTCTAGTAAAGTCATGTCAGTCATTAATAGTTTTCTTTCAAAGGCAACAAATTATATTTTATTTAGTATATTTTTTCACAGAAATTGATGGCAACAAAACCTGAGAACATTGTAGCTGAAAGTCTATATGGGATTTTAAAAAATGCAATAGTTCCCTCTGATGGTGGGACCTGGTAATTCAACTTAGGAATACTTGATTGGAGAATCAACCTGTGGGAATCTCTTCCATGGTTTCAAGCAAAACTTGCTAGCCACATTCACCATACCATCATTGCTGAGTTGCAGCCAGGCGCCCCCTACCTGATTGCCATCATACATGAAACCTTTCTTTAATTGCAGCAGTGCGAGTCTGGCCAGGACGGGAGATCTTTGTGGATTTCTGGAGAGTGCTAATGAGAGCAGCTTGTGAGCTTCTTCTACCCAGCCCATCTGGTACAGAGCATCGGCACAAAGGATCCGTGATGCCTCATCAGAAGGGTCCAGTTCCATCAGGAGAGAAGCCAGCTGGTAAACCCCGAGGGCATCCCTGTAGAAAAAAAAAAGAAGAAAGAAAAAAAAAAAAAGAAAAAAGACAACTTTCAGGTAAAATGCTAATAATAATAATGGAACCCCTGCATCTCATCTGCAAGCTAAGATATAAGTCAGTATCAAATGGATGATGTGTTCTGCCATAGCTAGCACCACAGAAATCTCTGTCACTTAATTCTATGATCATTATCCTTTATGAAAACATGTTCCTAAGCAGCTGTGGGTCTAAAGAAAGGTGAACAACATGGGATTCATACCTGTGGTTGCAGTGATACCACAATGGGAAAACAAAATGTAACAGTGATAGTGGGAAAAAATAAAGTGTTGTTTCTACTGAAGAACCATGTGCTAAAATTTGCATGGACTCAAAAGAACTGTGTTAATGGGTTCCTGAAGCAGTGACCTGTGTCTGAGAGGGCCTGTGTTTATGTCCTGATCTACCAAGTGCAACACTGAGTTAGCATGTTCTTCTGTGCTTCAGTTACAGCCCTGAGCACTGGCTGTGAAATGTGTAACAAAAATGCACTCCCTGCTACCCAAATTCAGCTGTGTTTGTTTTTCTGTCTACAGGCTGAACTGCCTCCTGGGTACCTCTTCATCTGGAGCATCTTCTGTCCCTCTTCCTGGAGAACCTTTAGCAGCAATCCTCTTTGGTTCCACGGCACATAGGCCTTGATGGTGAAGATGGTTTCTTCTAGCTTTAACTGGCAAGCTGTGATGTAATCCAGGGCTGTCAAGTAATGGCTGCCACCAGAAATCCGGATAAGTCCGCGCCCACATAAGGCTTTAATACAGCTGTTAGGATGAGGGGAATCATGCTCAATGACCTTTTGAAAGTCCTGCAGGGCTTGCTGATGATCATGAGAATGGAGGGCACAGAATCCTCGCAATGCTAGCAGAGTATTGTGATAAGTTTTCTGCTCTGCTGCCAGGAGCTGGTCACAGATTTCCAAGGCACCTCTGATGTGTCCATGCAGGAGATGGCAGTCTGCCAGCCGGACTCTGAGCTCACGTTTGGACCCTGGGGAGATACGCAGGAGGAAAAGCACTGTTTGGATTACAGCAGGGAGCAGTTCAGTACAACGATTGCTTCTGAGTTCTGTCCGAGCACGCACAGCCTCCCTGTATGCTGCAAACTTCACTTCCAGGACAGTTCTAGCCTGTTCTTCTATCTTCTCAGTGTCAGGTGGTGAGAAAAGCTCTTCAAAGTGCTTCATTGCCAGGTCAGGGGTTGCTGCAAAGGCTTCTGCTAAATCCTGCATCATTTCCTGCATCCGGCCACCCAAGAAAAAATATGCAGCAGCCCGTTCCAAGAGCAGACCCAGCATTTTCTCATCTCTGAGACTATTGTCTACTGACAGTCCCTTAAGGGCCTTGCTACAAACTGCCACACACTCCTCAAATTTGCTTTTCTTAAAGAGGTAAGCTGCCTGCGCTCTGCAAACCCAGACATCACCTGGTGCCACTGCAGACAAGAAGGCGTAGCAGTTGCCCAGCCAGTGGTCCAAGGAACTGCCATCTGGGCTTTCTTTCTGATACGTTGAGAGAAAATTAGAGAAGGCCTGGATGATCTGTGGCAGATGTTCTTTTTGCCTGGTACACACATAGGCCACTGCCTCAGCCTGATGCCTCACAAACACTTGGATGTAGTCTGCAACTCCCTTTCTAATCTGTGTCCCCGACAGCACCCATGCCAACGCCCTGAGCAGCAGCAGTTCTACTGAATACTTCGGATGAGCCGTGAGCAGAACATTGCATTTGCTCACCACCTCCTCTGAGCAACCCTGCCTGAGCAGGGCCTCCATTTTATATATCGAGGACAGCACGTTGTCAGGACTTAGGGTGGAGAGAAAGACAGCAGCTACTTCCACTCTGAGCGACGCGATGGCCACCTTCTTGCTCTGGATCTTGGGAATCTGGCTCTTGCCCCTGCACCACATCTCCAAGGTGGCAATCACTCTCTCCCAGAGCCCGTTCTCCAAGGAGTTCACTTTCTGCAGGGCTGTGGGAGCGCTGCAGCTGAAGGCGGCCACGTAGAAAGCCGTGGCTGCGGGCAGCTCCTGCTGGGCGAGGTGCTGGTCCCCTTCTCTGCAGAGCAGCGCAGCGAGCCCCTGAGGTGACATTGCCAGCACCTGTATCCTCACCGAGGAGCGTCACAGTAGCATCTAGAACAGCCTGTAAAACAAAATCGGCACGAGGGGCCGCTGAGCACAGTTTCTCCGCATTTGGGGCACGCAGCTTCCCTATGGACGAGCCGAAGCCCCGGGACGAACCGGACGTTCCAGCGGGGAGCAAAGCCACGAGAAGAAACGCACAGCCCAGGTTAACAGCCCACATCCGCGCGACTGCAGCACGAGTGAGCAGGAAGGATGAGGCCGAGAGCAGCGCAGGGCTCCTCGCGGGGCGCCGGGGTCTCGCCCTCCCTCTCACCCCCACAAGTACCTGGCAGCGGCGTTCGGCGGAGCGGCCCGCGGCTCCCGAGGCGAGGTGAGACGGCGGGGCGGCGGGGCTGGGAGGCGTTGCCTGGAGACCGCAAACACGGCGGCAGCGGGGCGGGCCGGGCAGCCCGGGCCATCAGCCTCGTTCTTAGACGTTCACGTGGGGGAAAAAAAACCCTTTGTGATTAATAGAGATTTTTTGACATTTTATTAAGAGTTTGGCCGTTACTTTGATTTGATTACTTTCACTTTAATTACCCTAATTAGCTATCAAGATATAATTTAGCATTGCCGTCACATCAGGCCTCTGGCGATATTGGCAGGAAAGACTCGAGGGCATAACAAGGAACTGTTCTGAAATAGAAATCCCAGTGGAAGGAGCGGAGCTGATCAGATGTTGTGGCTCTGCTAGGAGCTGCACAAATCCTCACTGCCATTTGACTTCACTGCGGGCTGTGGTGCCACATTTTGCATGCAGAGAACGTGGAGGATGCTGGCGTCCTCTGTTCATTGTTTCCCTTTGAGTCCCCATTTAGTTAAGGATGTGTGTGGAGGGATGCTGGTACCGTCCGTATGAACAAGGCTGGCCAGAGAGGTGGCAGCAATGTGAGGAGATGGTTTTCTTTACTCAAGGTGCTGTACCAGGTGATATGAATGCAGCCAGATTTGTGTTATGCAGCAAACTTAAGCTCGAGTGAAGTCAGCTTCCTTCCTTCAGCCCCCAAAGGGATGAGAGCAACAGCATCGGTATGAACTCGAAGATGGTGGGCTTTCCTGGCGGGAAGGGCTGTGGCCTGGCACGATGTGTGAGCAGTGTGGGTGGGTGCTGCTGTGAAAGCCCTCGGTACAGGTGGCAATGCAGCTTACAGATCCTGGCTCCTCATGGTTTTCATGATTCAGCAGCCAATTTGCTGCCTGTCCTATGGGGCAGATATGGCAAGCTCTGTTTCTAGGATCATTAAAAAAAATGCGAGAGAAGAAGGAAAAAAAGCACGGACGTGTTTATCTAAACATTCATTAAATATTAAGTTTGCTACACAGTCGTTAAATATTAAGTACAATACAATAGCTCCTCGTGATGTCTCTGACTGGTGATTAATTTTTAAAGGGAGCTGAGTGGGAAGGGATTAAAGGCACCACAAGTGGCTTTGCAAAGCAGGAGATGCACTGACACACTGCAGTAACTCTTTTCAAGGGGAGCTGGCTGAGAAATCTTGTACTTCTTTTAAGGGTTCTCAGTGCCTGCAGTGCATGTAATGAGCCTTCCCCTGAGAGCTTTTAAATCAGTCAGCTGGGACTGCAGGTGAGAAACCAGAAATGCACAAAATGCTGCTTAGAAAATGAACCATCTCTGATGGGAGGAGTGTGATGGGGTGGGCATTAACAACTCAAAAGCAGGGAAAAAACTTGGTAGATTTTCCTGAGTAACATTCTTGAAAAGCACTCTTCTCTCTTGGTATGTTGGTTGGAGAGCAGGCACCAAAGTCTGCTCTCATTTAGCCTGGTGTAAGTAAGCATAGGGTAGGGAATGAGGATGACTTGTACTAAATTATACAGGCTGGGCAACTGAATGCCCACAGCACTGAAGTCAAGAAGCTCTCTGCTGATTTACTAAGCTGTTAAGCCACCCGATGAAATTTCATCCCTATACATATTTAGTTCCACAGCCGCAGTCTGCCAGGAGCATTAGTCTGCTGGTAACTGCTGTCAAACAAAGTTGGGATATTGTCTTGTGTAGGAAATCTGCACTCCTGGCATTGTATCCCCATGACAGCTGCTGCTGCTGTTCCTTTGTCTTAGAGGTCTCTGTTTGGAATCTGCTGTTTTAAACTTTGTTATTGACAGATCTGCTTCCTAACGCTGTCTGGTGTACAAACGTACCCCAAACCTTTCTTTTTGGGATGTTCAAGTTCTCAGTCTGCTATGGGTTGCTTTTGATGCTATGATAGCCTGCTGGTAGGTCAAACCTTTGAGCCCTGGATAATCACAGAAATAGAACACATCCTGGGAAAACTATAAGGAGATTAAACTGGTGGTTGTAAAGAACTTTGAAAAACATGGGTGAAAAGTGGTGTGTGTCACAGGAGAAGTTTTAATCTTTATGGCCCAACCCAGTTACTCTGGATCTTGATGGATTTTGTAAAATGTGGCTTTACTCAAGCTTCTCAGTAAGGCCTCGAAGAGGTGATGGTCTTAAATCTTCCCTTGGCTTTGCAGTGCATAACTGTAGATGTTTTGATACAATAAGCATCCTGCATACCTGTGCCTGCATACCTTTATGCACTCAGAAAGCCAGCATGATATCCTTCTGCACCGGGCTATTTTCATCTGTTTCCCCCAACAAGAACAACAGTGCAGAGGGCTGTAGGCTCCCTGATGGAGAGCAGGATTAAGATGCACTTGAACAAGATTATAAGATAAGAGTTGTCACTCCATTAGAGAAAGCAATAATCCTTTTGTTTATATTCTAGAGATTAAAGCAGCAACAGCACAAAACCCCCAAAGGTCACCACACAAATGCTTTGCTCTCGGTTATTTTCTGTAATTTAACTGTGGGATTCAGCAGCACAGTTGCATAAATTAGTTAATTCTCCAACTCCTTGCTCTGGTAATAAGACGGATCTGTTTACTCTGGAGACAAATAGGTGTGCTTGAAATTGAACAAAGGCCCTCGAAGGGAACGAAGTGTTTCCAGGGAGTATTAATTGCTAGGAAGTAACGGTGTTTCTTGGCTGCTGAATCCACGTGTGTTTCTTGAGCGCCTGGGAAGGGTTCTGCAAGGCTTCTGTTCTCCCTGTCTGTGCTGCCATAGGTGCAATGTACATGCCTCTTGGCAGTAATTACCTCTAATAAGCTTGTGTTCAATCGAAAAGCAACTGTCTTGGCTGATAAGGACAAGCCAAACTTTTCTGACACTTGAGAAGGAAGAACTCCATTCAGGTATGAGCAGATGCTGCCTGTGGGTCCACATCCAGAGTGTGCACACCGAGTGTCCCCCTGTATGAAGCACTGTGCTGCCCTGAGGTTTGTGAGTCAACATCCATCTGCCTCTCTGATGCCACATCCTCTGATAAAAGACTCAAGTCTAATAGTTTTTACCTGAAATTTCCTGTGCTGAGCTGTTTCAATAGCATTGCACAGCCAAACTTCGCAAGTACAAGATTTTCTAGATGGAAACTGCTGAAATCAATGTCAGTTGCACCACATGTAACTGGGGAGCAAGACTAACATCTAAACAGCAAAATGTTTTGGCATACTGGGTTTTCCATCTCTTCCGACCCAGCATTTAGACAGTCTGACATCTCAGCTCACTCAGCAAGGAAGCTGCTGGGACAGGCTGGGGCACACCTGAACAAATGGCTGGTGCAGAACGGCCATCATCAGGTTTTGTTTCTGTGCTGGTTGTTTGCTGTGTTTGTTTGGAATGTAAGCTGCTCAGGCTGAGGGTGGTGCTGGCACGATGAGCATGATGGGCTGCATCTCTGCAGAGATCTCCCAGCACGGACAGAATGTGAGGAATAACAAACAGTGAGGTATAAAATAAAGGAGGCTGTTGCAGCATCATGGTAGGTGTCCTGCCAACTTGTGTTATGCACACAATGGTAACCAGCCTGCTTTTTCTCCTCTGTTAGTATTGCAACTGACTGCTTTTGTTTCCTCTTGTTCCTTCCCTACTTGACAAGCAAATGGGGATAAGAACACATTGTTAAGGGATAAGTTATTTGGCTGCACTAAGTTTCTAAATCATATTGGTTTGAACTAAGTTCATCAACCAGGCATGGAAACATTAATCACCCAGAAAAATAACACGCAGTGAAATGACTTTTCAAAATGTCGTTGGTATAATTATCATCTTGGCCATTACATTAAATGCCACCATTTATAACTGTTACGTTTAAGTATGCAAACAGTAATTAACTTGGTAATGAAATGAGGACCCCTGTGCCTCTCTTCCCTCAGCTAATTTGCATGTTAATTATCATTAGCAACCAGGGAAACAAGTTATAAACAACTTAATTAGCAGCTTAATCATTTTTACAAGAAAACGCGCTGCACTTTGATACATGAGCAGGAGTGAGATTAATGGAGGCGGGCGGCCGTGCAGCCGCTGCAGGCAGCCCAGGGACACCCAGCTGTGGGCGCACGCTGTGCTCGGCTGCCTGCACCCTGCTCACGGGGCGCCGGCCCTGCAGAGGCTCCGTCAGCTTTGGGCAGCAGTTGCTTCTCTCTGCCATGCCTGCTTTACGTGGTGGCTTCGGGCTGCCGTTGGGCGCTCAGCCTGGCAGCGGCCCCGGGTGTGAAGTTTGGGGTTTTGTGCGCGTGCTGAAATCCTCGATGGACAAATAAGCAGATGGGGCTCTCTGTGTTGCTTGTACAATGGTTAAAATGTCAGTGTGGGAATTAGTCCCCGTTAGTCTGCCAAGAGCACTTCTGATCTGGTCAAGAATCAATCATTTGATGAAAGGCAATAGAAATTTTGTCATAACACGAGGAGACATCGTCTAAGGAGGTTGTGGAATGTCTGTCATCAGAGATTTGGGGAATGGGTTAGATAAACATCTGCAGGAGGTGCTTTGGGTGCTGTGGAGCGAGCTGCAGGAGGGGGCAGAGCTGAGGGCTGAAGGCAGACGGTTTCTGTGATGTGGTTGCAGAATGACTGTGACGGTTACAGGGAGATGTGCAGGCTGGCAAAATCACTGCACGGCTGGCCCAAGGTCAGGC